GACCACCTGTCTCCTTGATCCTTGCCCATCCTGGCTGATAAAAGCGAGCCTGGAAGGGCTGGGCAATGGGCTCTGCGGGGTGGTGAATGCTTCCCTCTGTGAGGGAGCCTTCCCAGACCCGCTGAAAGAGGTAGTCATTAAACCGCTTCTTAAAAAAACATCTTTAGACCCGGCCAATTTGGCCAACTATCACCCAGTCTCAAATCTTCCATTCTTGGGCAAGGTGATTGAGCGGGTAGTTGCCGAACAACTCCAAGCACGCCTGGAGGATGCGGACCATTTGGATCCCTTCCAATTGGGATTCAGGCCTCACCATGGGACTGAAACTGCCTTGGTCGCGCTGGTTGATGACCTCCGGCGGGCTAGGGACAAAGGTGAGAGCTGTTTCCTAGTTCTGCTGGATCTCTCAGCGGCCTTTGACACCATCGACCATAACATCCTTCTAGACTGTCTAGAGGGGCTGGGAGCTGGGGGCACTGTCATACGGTGGTTCCGCTCCTTTCTCCTGGGCCGTGTCCAGAAAGTGGTGTTGGGGGGTGAGTGTTCAGACCCCTGGGCTCTCATTTGTGGGGTGCCTCAGGGTTCTGTCCTCTCCCCCATGCTTTTTAATATCTATATGAAGCCGCTGGGAAAGATCATCAGGGGGTTTGGGCTGGGCGTTCATCAGTATGCAGATGACATACTGACACCCAGCTCTACCTCTCCTTTAAATCAGAACCAGTGAAGGCGGTGAAGGTCCTGTGTGAGTGCCTGGAGGCGGTTAGAGGATGGATGGCAGCTAACTGATTGAGGTTGAATCCTGACAAGACAGAAGTACTGTTCTTGGGGGACAGGGGGCGGGCTGGTGTGGAGGACTCCCTGGTCCTGAATGGGGTAACTGTGCCCCTGAAGGACCAGGTGCGCAGCCTGGGAGTCATTTTGGACTCACAGCTGTCCATGGAGGCACAGGGCAGCTGTCTACCAGCTCCACCTGGTACGCAGGCTAAGACCCTACCTGCCCGCAGACTGTCTCGCCAGAGTGGTGCATGCTCTAGTTATCTCCCGCTTGGACTACTGCAACGCGCTCTACGTGGGGCTACCTTTGAAGGTGACCCGGAAACTGCAATTAATCCAGAATGTGGCAGCTAGACTGGTGACTGGGAGTAGCCGCTGGGACCACATAACACCGGTTCCGAGAGATCTGCATTGGCTCCCAGTACGTTTCCGAGCACAATTCAAAGTGTTGGTGCTGACCTTTAAATCCCTAAACAGCCTCGGTCCTGTATAACTGAAGGAGCGTCTTCACCCCCATCGTTCAGCCCGGACACTGAGATCCAGCGCCGAGGGCCTTCTGGCGGTTCCCTCATTGCGAGAAGTGAGGTTACAGGGAACCAGACAGAGGGCCTTCTCGGTAGTGGCGCCCACCCAGTGGAACACCCTCCCTTCAGATGTGAAGGAAATAAGCAGCTATCCTATCTTTCAAAGACATCTGAAGGCAGCCCTGTTCAGGGAAGTTTTTAATATTTAACGCTGTACTGTTTTTAAAACTTGATTGGGGGCCGCCCAGAGTGGCTGGGGAAAGTCAGCCAGATGGGCGGGGTATAAATAATAAATTATTATTTTTATTATGAGGAAGAAGAAGAAGAAGAAGATGATGATGATGATAAGACGGGGAAGCTGAGGATGATGATCAGAGTTCGGATTCCAGCTCAGTGAGCAGTGCTGCTGCTGCTGTCAGTGACAGTGATGACACAGCAGACTACAAGAGCGCAAAGGCCTCAATCAGACCATCTGATGCGTCTGACACTGAACTGGAAGAACCACTGTTCACCATTGGCCACTTTTCTCCTAAGAAAGAGGAGGTGAGTGAAGAAGAGTTGCGTCTAGTATGCAGATCTGAAAGGGCCACAAAAGGCAAACCTGCAAAGAGATTTGCTGATGAGTTTGCTAAGACAGCAACTGCTGTTCTTAGTAGCTCAGAGAAGGTGTGGGAACCTTCAAGCTTCAAAGAGGTTCAGGAGTTAACCTCTAAAGATGCTGAGCCATGGCTGAATGCCATGAAGGCTGAAGTTGATTCCTTGAATAGGAACCAAACCTGGGAGCTAGTCCCAGTAGTCCCAGGAATGAGACTGGTTGGCAGCAAATGGGTCTTCAAGGCCAAGACAGACCAGACTGGCAAGGTTTTCAGGCACAAAGCCAGATTGGTTGCCAGAGGTTTTTCACAGGTACCAGGACCGGATTACCATGAGACCTACTCACCCACCGTCAAGTATGAGAGCATTAGACTAATGCTCAAGATTGCTGCAGAGGAGAATCTGCATGTTTCTCATCATGATGTGAACACAGCTTTTTTGTATGGGATTTTGGGGGAGGAGCTGTATATGCTTCCACCTGATGGAATGCAGACACAGAAAGGAATGGTCTGTAAACTACGGAAGTCCTTATATGGTCTCAAGCAGAGTGCCAGGTGTTGGAACACAAAACTCACTGAGACATTGTTTTCTCTAGGTTTTCACCAAGGCAAAGCTGATCCATGTGTGTTTGTCAAGGAGGAGGGGCAAAACAAACTGTATTGTTTATGTTTTGTTGATTATCTTCTTCTGTTTTGTACAGGCTTTGTACAAAAGCACCCTAGCTCAACTAAAGGAGCACTTTGACATGAAGGATCTTGGTGAGGTTTCCAACTATCTTTCTCTGCAGGTGGGGAAGGACCAAGCAGGTAATTTTCTGGTACACCAAACAAAGAAAATTGCTGATGTATTAACCAGGTTGAATTTGGTTGATGCAAACCCAGCAGACACACCGATGGTGACAGGTTACCAGGTAGATAGTACTGCTGAAGCGTTTTCTGACACTACACTGTACAGATGCATTCTAGGCAAGCTGAATTTCATTGCTAGATGTTCAAGACCTGACATAGCTGTAAGCACTAATCTGCTTAGCAGACATGCCAACAATCCTACTGTTCAGGATTGTAAAGCTCTGAAACGCATAGCCTATTTGAAGGGGACTTTGCACTACAGGCTGAGGTTCACTAGTCAGAAGACTGCAGGTCTTGAAATCTTTGCAGATGCTAGTTTTGGAAGTGACACCATGGATGGTACAAGCACTTCTGGAGTATGCTACATGTACAACCATTGTCTGTTCGACTGGCTGTGCAAAAAGCAGATGACAGTAAGCCTAAATTCCTGTGAAGCAGAACTCAATGCCCTGTCATTTTCACTCATGGATTGTGAATGGTTGATGCAACTGTTTCAGGACATCAGAGTTTCTTTGAAATGTCCTATACAGGTGTATCAAGACTATAGATCCTGTTTGGCTTTGCTGAACTCAGAGAGTTGCAAGCAAAGAACCAAGTACTTGCAGATTAAGTTACATTGCGCAAGAGAGTGTATTCAGAAAGGACTCATTCAGGTGTCCTACATGCCAGGAAACGAAATTCCTGCAGATCTGTTGTCTAAGGTTTTTAACAGAGAACAACTTAAGGTTTATGTACAGAGGTTGCAATTGGGTTGAACCACAGGTACTACAGGTTACACGGAAAGGGGGAGGATATTAGGATATAGTTCCGTTCCACCTTAAAGGGTCAGGCATGATTGTTGTGTATCACATGCCTGTTTACTCCCAGCACTGTCTGCTGGGAAATTCCATTTTATATATAGCTTTTGTTCCGGCTGTTTTCCTGGACACGGAGGCAAGCAGTCATGTTTTTCCTTTGTTCTGAACTACGTTGAATAAAGCTGTAAATATGCTCTCCTGTCTACATCTTTCGTTGTGGAGACTGCTGAAAGGGTGTGCACGGGCCTTGGAATGTCTCTGAGGCTCGTGGCGCTAACTGACTGATGCTGTTCCACGGGAGACCGGTGATTGTCCGGAGACAACTGGGGGCCTGCCTGATGCCTCCGTCTCCCTGGCAGTATCCCAACAACAGTATCATCTAATTGCCCAAATATTTAATCAGGATAAAGCAATAGGATTTGAAAAAGAAGAATCAAAATTACAAAAAGTATTATTACAAAACTCGAAAAAGAGTATATCCAAAATGTATAATTTATTATTAGAATGGGAGTTAAAGGATGAAGAAGTAAAAGAAGTTATGACTAAATGGGCATGCGATATAGGTTACACAATTCGGCTGGACCAGTGGGAGAAATTATGGAAATGTGATATTAAATTTACGGCATGTTACACAATCAGAGAAAATTTGATGAAAATGGTGTACCAACGGTACTTAACTCCGGTAAAATTGGCAAAAATTTACAAATTAAAATCAAATACCTGTTGGGGATGCAAGAAAGAAATAGGAACAATGTTTCATATGTGGTAGGAATGTCGACCTATTAAGCAATTTTGGAATGAAATATATGAAGAAATCAAAAAGATGTTTAAAATATCTTTCAGTAAAAAACCGGAGGCATTCCCTTTAGGCATAATCACAAACGATATTCCTGACAATCAAAGGAAAGTATTCCTTTATGCAACAACAGCCGCCAGGATGCTTATAGCAAAAAATTGGAAAAGGAGAAAAATTCCGTCAATGAAAGAACGGCAAATTAATTTTTGTGAATATATAAATCTGGCAAGACTCACAGCATTCATAAGGGGACAATAGGACCAGAAATTATTAAAAGTATGGGGATGTGCTAAAGAGTATATGAAAAAGCATTGTTCTAGAGTAAGCATATATAATGAATGATGCTTTACAGGCTTAAAGAAAAAGAAAAATGGTGTAAAAAAGTATAAAGATAGAAGTAATCTACATTAGACACAACAATTTAGTAAGAGTAAAAATTTTGAGGTCTTAGAACAAAGGAAGGAAGTCAATATATGTATATGTATGTAATGACTAGATTAGACTGAATATATGGTTTTCTTTGTAGATGTGTGCTTTTTCTTTTCTTTTTTGCGTTCAGTTTTTTTTCTTGTTTGTATAGTATTAGTTTGGATTCAATGTTTGTAATTTTTGTTATAATTTTGCATTGAAAATAAAATTTATTTTTTAAAAAAGAAGTTTGTCAGAGTGCCAATAAATCAGATTTATTGCAGTGCCGTTGCAGCAAACTCCGTGAGTCAAAGGATTTACGACCCACAAACTTTAACAAAACGTATTTAGCATAGAAAGTGAAGACATGGATTGGAATAATTCATGGGCCAAAAAACCCTTAGCATCAGTCTCAACTCATATGAGTGATTACATTTAAGCTGTTACATAAATGGCATCTGACACCACTAACATGCAGCTATATTAATAAATCATTATCATACTTGTGTTTGTAAGCTTGCAATACAATTGGTACAATGTTCCACATGTGACTTATGTACATCCTTTTTGGCAAAAGTTGTTCACAGGGTGGGGTGGGGGTGGGGGAAGCAACATCAAGCGGCAACATGCAGAATGCACATCAAGTTTAGGCCTGTTAACCATTTCCAGGGGAAAAAAGCTTAATTTCAATTGCAGCAACAAAACTACTAACACATTTGTAAAGCTGAGCAGGGTCTGGTATGGTTTCAAATTGGACAAGGGACAGCGTGTTGAGATTCCTACATTGCAGGGGGTTAGACTAGGTCACCCTCGGAGATCCCTTCAAACTCTACTGTTCCATGATTTTATACAAATAGTTAATTGATTCACTTTCCACTTGGTGGCACAGAAATGGAAGAGACTGGATCATTTACAGAATTCTGTGCGGAAGCAAGATGCACAGACAATTTGCCTTACTGGAAAAACGAACAAGGAGAGTACAAGCACTGAACAGCACAGAAGACATAGATGACTTTACTGAAACTTGTCATCCTTTCATTGGGTTTTCAAAATGATAACCCTGATGACTGGCATCCACCTGATTCACTCAGTGGACTCTGGCAGAATTTAATAAACTGATTTGTTCCGTGGGAATAAACGGAGGGAGGAGGGAGGGATGGGAAACGAAGACATTTGTTGTATGTGTTTCTGTGTTATATACTGAAAATCAATAAAATTGACTGAAGAAAATAAGAAGACAACAGTGCCAGTTAGCCCAAGGAGTCTGGCCTGTATGGCAGAGCCCCTGTAGGACTTAGCTCCGCCGAGCCTTCCTCTTTGAGGCATGGTGTGGGTGATGATTGTGGGGTGACAATGATAGTGCCAAATCCGGCTCCCTTCCCATGGCTTTTGCCTTTTCCACTTTGCAGAGCAGCTCACTGTCCTCAGCACTGATGGGCCGGATGATGTGGCCAGGCTGGGTGACAATGTGAGGAGCTGTCAGACGCTGAAAAGCACGCTGGGTGTTCCAAGTGGGGCCCATGGGTGCTTGGATGCTGCGTTCAAATTGCTTGCTGTTCTCAAAGGGGAAGGGCAGCTGGTTCACCTGCAGTGTAGCGAAGAAGTAGTTTAATGGCACCCTGAAAGTGGAAGGCTAGGAACAACACACAGCTAAGCAGGCAGTTCCTGGGAGTGAGGGGGCACGTGCACAAAGTCTTGGTGAGCTGCTTGCATTTTATTATTTTGTAGTTCCAACCTGCTCTATCAACCTTCAGGCAGATAAAACAATCCTTATAAAAAAATACCAAAAGAAAAGAATTGGTATCAGGTACACAGTACAGGCAGTGACCATTTTCTGCACATCTGACTGTCATCTGGCCACCAACATGCGTGCTGCTTTTGGCCCCAGAAAAGGGCAGAACGGGCTTATGCGCAACTGCTGACGCGTGCAATAACCCAGAACACAACCCCATGCAAACAGGGTGTTGCCTGTACATACCCAATCAAGTACATAGGAATTTGCCTTATAACAGGTTGGACTATTTATCCATCTGTCCCAGAACTGTCTACTTCTCAGCAATCCACGCACACCTTTCCCATCACTTCATCCTTTTAAACTGGCGAGGCAGGGGATGGAAGCTGGGACTTTCTGCATGCAGAGCAGATGCTCTCCTGATTGAGCTATGGTCTTTCCTCAGTTAAATTCACAGAGTTTAATTACATTCCTGCATTGCAGGGAGTTAGACTAGACGACCCTTGAGGTCCCTTCCAACTATATAATTAAGAAGAAGTCAATTCTAACATCTTAGAATTCTATGAGTCTAAGAACATTTATACTGTATCTTCTTTTCCCCACATTGTTTCTGCAGCTGAAAGTGTGAACAGCAGCCTCCTAGGCCAGAGTGATAAACTCACCTGATGCACCCCTGCTAAAATATTGCGCTGTTCACTCAGGATAACATTGGGCAGGTGCCTGTTTTTCCTTGGGGTCCCAGCTGCTGGTTTGATAAGGAACCTAGAAGGCAAAAAAGAAAAGGAAGAAGGGAGGTGAAGCAGGTAACAGTTGGCAGTGACAGACCATTAAGCTTCCACCCTGAACATACCGTCTCTTCTTCATCTTACTCGGCCGTAGTCCTGCACCTCCCCACTCGCCCCATCCTGGAAGCACCAGATTGATAACTTTCGGTTTGCTGTTTTGCTCTGCCCGACGCTTTTCTTTCATAAAGTTGGCAACAACGTTGTCACTTGCAAAGGCCTCCCGGATCACCTGTCGCTGGTCTTTGCCCATCTCTAGCTGCAAGGGAGAAAAAGATCAGCAGGCAGGTGGACAAGGAGTCTCACAGGATTTCCAGACAATAGGTAACTAACACAGGAAGAGTATAATCTAACAGTGATCTTGATGCTCAATTGGAAATGAAATTGTTTTACAGAAAGTGCTGTTAAGCTTTTTTGAAGGCCCTGCTGGAGCCAAAAGACAGGTGTACAATGAACGAAGAGAACAGACAAATGAGTCTCCTCCCCACTTTGCATCCTTAACCAACAAGGAGCAAGATACTGCTGTGTGGCAAGGAACTGCATCCAATGAAAGCTCATTCGAGGAGATTGCTGAATTGCTTCTGCTCACAGAGTCTGACTCAGTGCAGGGATTTGGAGCAGGAAGGAATTTCTCTGCCCAGAGCACTGTCCAGGAGCTCTAGTGTTTGGATTTTAAAACACCTCCTTCCCTTTCCCAGCAGCATGTGACTCAGCTCGCTTGCAAGAATTCTCTGGAGCAGTTTGGTCCTCAAATACTTTCCTGTAGTACACAAGCTGTCTGCTTGAGACATGCTGGCATGATTCAAACTAAATGACAAAGCATGCTTTGTCACATTGCAGCCTACCCCAAGGTGCCCCCCCCCCCCCACAATACTGATGGACTCCAAATCCCATCATCCCCCAGTTAGCAAACCCAATACTTACAGATAATGGGAGCCATAGTCAAACACCACCTGGAAGGCTGATCAGATAACAATACACTTGCATAACAAGAGACTCTTAATCTCAGGGTTGTGGGTTCGAGCCCCATGTTGGGCAAGAGTCCTGCATTGCAGGGGGTTGGACTAGATTACCCTCACGGTTCCTTCCATGGTTCCTTTCTACGATTCTATTATCGTCAGTGTGCTGCTGCTGTCCCTTCCTCTCTCCCCTTCTTTATGTGAAAGCAGGTTGAAATTACCTGCTTGTAAGCCCTGTTATGTCTGAACTTGTGGAACAGAAATTTGTTTTATCTGCTGCTCGTTAAAAAATAAACTAGCATATTGAAGACATCTAACCACAGTTCCTCAAGTTTGGACTTAACAGGGAACTGTGATTAATTCAAAAGTGAAAGCATAATAATGTCCCTTTGGTTATACAGTGGAACCTCGGTTCCCGAACACCTCCGTTGTTGTACGTTTCGGTTCTTGAACACCGAAAATCCGGAAGTAAATGCTTCCGTTTTCAAACACTTTTCGGAACCTGAACGTACAACATGGCTTCCGCTGAGTGGAAGAAGCTCTTGAAACCAATGGGAAGCCGTGCCTTGGTTTTTGAAAAAGCGAACGGATTTTGTCTGAGAACTGAGGTACCATTGTATTATTAGTTACTCCTATTTTAATGTCTAAGTTTCTCTAGGCATATAAATCGTACTAATGTTAATAGCCTAGTTTTTGTTTTTTGTAATTGCTGTTGTTGATGTTTAGGTGCTTTCACCAGGTTATTATTCATTCTTAATACTCTATTAGTATGTATGTATGTGTGTGTGTACGTGCACACACACATACACACACACAAAATGTGTGTGCATTCAAATAAAAACATTTTTTTAAAGGGGTAAAGTAGAAGCTTTCATCCTCCTTTCATACATGTGGAGGAGTGCATGAGCCTCAGGTTTCTTCTTCTAACAACAAACCCTAGTTTGCCATTCATTTCTGAACTGGGCTAGCCTGCTCTGAAAAAGCTATTCTGTGAAGGCAATGATTGGCTTTCTCATACAGTGAGACAGTTGGTCCTTTTAGCTCAGTGCTGGCTCTCCAATAACTCTAGGCAAATACTGCTTCCAACTCTGCTACCCAAAATCAGTTTTTAACGAGAAACAAAACAAGGAATGAACCAAAGCTCTTCTACATGTGATGCAAGGGGAACCTGTGGACCTCCTGATGTTATTGGACTACAACTACCCTTAGCATAGTTGGCTATGCTAACTGGAGCTGATGGGTGTTGACTAATGACATCTGGAGGGCCACAGCCCCGCCCCATCCCTAATGTAAAGCATACTCTCTACCATTGGTCTCTTCCCTGATGCATTGGGATAAGGCTCCCTGCAGCTGGAAAACAAACACGCCAAAGAGATTAAACCTTCTCCCTGACACACTAGCTTTCTCCCACTGGGGAGCTTTCAAAGATGAACACTTCCCATGTCGTTAGCCTGAAGGGACACAGTGCAAGTAAAGCGTTAGCACTTAGCTCTTCCGGATCCATGGAACCCCTGATTAACCCCTCCTAATGGTGCTCACCTCATCCTGTACAGCAGAAGGCAAAAACGGACACTGCATGGGACGAAGTGGTTGAGCCAGCACTGCCTTCAGATCAATCAGAGCCTTGTGCTTGGCTGTCTTATTGGAGGTCTGGGTCTTGCTATCCTTGGGCTGTAGCGATGACTCAGCTTCCAGAGGCTGCTGAAGTTCAGCACCGTTGACTTCCGGCATTCTGTTTTCCCGTGGGACTTCCTCTGGCTCCATGGCCTCCATATCCTCTAAGGTACGAAGCCGTTCCAGCTTCTCACTCAGGAGTGGCCCCTCTGGCACATGACTTGGAGGTGCTGGTAAAAGCACGTCCGTCATCTTGGGCATTGCTTCCTCACCGTTAAGACCTGAAGCAAGAACACGACACAAATTATCATAGCATCTGAAGGGCACTGCTGGATCAGACATCACTCTAGCCCAGCATCCTGCAGGGTAGGAAAACCAAGGCTCTCTCTCCGTTGCTGCTCTTCAGCAACTGGTACTCAAGGGTACATTGCCTTGGAATGTGGATGCTCCATATTGCCATCATGGTTAATATCAGCAGACCCAAACATTTCACTAATCAACTTTTTTGAATACACCCCCCCCCCCAGCAAGCCTACCCAGGCATATCATTTTAATACATCCATTTTTTTTCTAATTATTTTGAGTTTTAAAATAAATGCAAACATTTGTCAACTAGCTAAATAAAATGATTGCTTCTTACAGCAGTCAAAATATGCTTTTTTTCCCTGAAGGAAACACACGTAGCAAACAAACAGAAAAGAATTCTGATTAATAAAAGAATTAGGGATGGATTTTATTTCAGCAGACAATGCTAAAAGACGTGGTGTAGTATTTTACATTAAACCTGCACTTGAACCCAAGCTAATCCAAAAAGACGATAAAGGGAGGATTCTAATGGTACAAATCAAAGTCCAAGGAGAAAAGATAGTATTGGTGGGAATATATGCACCAAATGAAAATAAATCAAAATTCTTTCAAAAATTTGAAACAGATCTTTTGGAGATTGCAGATAAGAAGGTAATACTAATGGCAGATCTGAATGGGGTACCATCATTAAAGATGGACAGAACAATTAGGAAAAAACACACCAAAGAAGGTAGGCTACCCAAAACATTTTTAAAAAAAATATATTTATTGAAGTTTCACATAAAAAGAGACATCTTAATAAGAGAAAGGGGAAAAAAAGAAATTTAAAAATAAAAAGAGAAATACACCATACAAAATACAAAGGAAAAAGAAAGAAAAAACAGTTAAAAACAATTCCTTCTTTTCATCATAACTTTTACATTAACTTATTTCCCGGACCTCCTCATACCTCCCTCTTTTGTATTCCAATTCAATTTGTTTGTCCAGCAATTCCTTTCCCTCCTTTTTAATCCTAATCCTTAATCTTAATATAATATAACATTAAGTTTTAACCTATTAAAAGCCAATTTTCCATTTCTTTTAACTTTTTTTAATCCTAATCCTTAATCTTGATCTATATATTAACTTTAAAGCCTGTACAGCTAGAAGCCACTTCATTTCAATCCAACATCACTCTAACATTCTTTAATTTTGCAATATTTCCGTAGGTAATCTTTGAATTTCTTCCAATCTTCTTCAACCGACTCTTCTCCCCGGTCACGGATTCTGCCAGTCATTTCCGCCAATTCCATATAGTCCATCAATTTCATCTGCCATTCCTCCAGTGTGGGTAGCTCTTGTGTCTTCCAATACTTTGCGATGAGTATTCTTGCTGCTGTTGTAGCATACATAAAAAAAGTTCTATCCTTTTTCAACACCAATTGGCCGACTATGCCCAGGAGAAAGGCCTCTGGTTTCTTCAAGAAGGTATATTTAAATACCTTTTTTAATTCATTATATATCATCTCCCAGAAAGCCTTAATCTTTGGGCACGTCCACCAAAGGTGAAAAAATGTACCTTCAGTTTCTTTACATTTCCAACATTTATTATCAGGCAAATGGTAGATTTTTGCAAGCTTGACTGGGGTTATGTACCACCTGTATATCGTTTTCATAATATTCTCTCTTATGGCATTACATGCCGTAAATTTCATACCTGTGGTCCATAACTGTTCCCAGTCAGCAAACATAATGTTGTGTCCTACATCTTGTGCCCATTTGATAATAATAATAATAATAATAATAATAATAATAATAATAATAAATTTTATTTATATCCCGCCCTCCCCAGCCAAAGCCGGGCTCAGGGCGGCTAACAACAATAAAACAGTATAAAAGTATAGCATAAACAACACTCTAAAATCATTCATTATAAAATTAATTAATTCAGGCCACTGGCAACCATTGGGCCAGAGCTCCGCGAAGATTGCCGAGGGAGGGAGTCAGGCTGTGCCCTGGCCAAAGGCCTGGTGGAACAGCTCTGTCTTGCAGGCCCTGCGGAAAGATGTCAAGTCCCGCAGGGCCCTGATCATAACAGATTTCACCGTTTCATCCTGAGTGTTCCATTTCAGCAGCAAGTTATACATTCTTGACAAAGTCTTAGTTTTGGGTTCTAACAGTTCTGTTTCTAATTTTGATTTTTCCACCTGGAAGCCAATTTTCTTGTCCAAATTGTATACCTCCATTATCTGATAATAATGAAGCCAGTCTCGCACTTTGTTTTTTAATTTTTCAAAACTCTGCAATTTCAATCTATCTCTATCTTGTTCCAAGATTTCCCAATATTTCGGCCACTTGACCTCCATATTGAGCTTTTTCAAGGCTTTCGCTTCCTTGGAGTTTTGTTTTCCAATAAATCCTTGTATCTTATCCAAACATTAAACAATGCTTTCCTGACAATGTGATTTTTAAATGCTTTATGTGCTTTAACCTTATCATACCACAGATATGCATGCCATCCAAATACATTGTTAAAACCTTCCAAATCCAAAATGTCAGTGTTTTCAAGAAGCAGCCATTCTTTCAACCAGCAGAAAGCTGCTGATTCATAGTAAAGTTTAAGGTCTGGCAGGGCAAATCCACCTCTATCCTTTGCATCTGTTAGTATTTTAAATTTTATTCTGGGCTTCTTGCCCTGCCAGACAAATCTGGAAATATCTCTCTGCCACCTCTTGAAACAGTCCATTTTGTCCACAATTTGCAATATTTGAAACAGAAATAACATTCTAGGCAATACATTCATTTTTACCGCAGCAATCCGGCCCAGCAGTGAAAGCTTCAAATTTGACCAAATTTCTAAATCTTTTTCACTTCAGCCCAACATTTTTCATAGTTATCTTGAATAAATTCCCATTTTTGCTGTCATATTAATCCCCAGGTATTTGACTTTCTTAGCCACTGTTAAACCTGTCACATTCTGAAACCTTTCTCTCTCCATTGGTGTTAAATTTTTCTCTAAAACCTTAGTTTTTAACTTGTTCAATTTAAATCCTGCGACCTGACCAAATTCTTCAATCAATTCTAAAACCCTTTTGGTACTAGATTCTGGCTCCTGTAACGTCAGTACTAAGTCACCTGCAAATGCTCTCAGTTTGTACTGTTTAGTTCCGACCTGTATACCTTTAACCAGCTGGTCCCTTCTTATCATGTTCAACAAAACCTCCAGGACCGAAATAAAAAGTAGTGGGGAAATTGGGCAACCTTGTCGTGTCCCTTTTTCTATTTTAAATTCTTCCGTCACCACATTATTTACAATTACAATTACAATTAATTTAGCCTTTTGTTCTGAATAAATTGCACTTATACCATTTTCAAAGCCTTGGCCTACCCCCATACCCTGTAAGTTCTTCTTCATAAAGCTCCAAGAAATATTGTCAAAAGCTTTCTCCGCGTCCACAAATATCAAAACTGCTTTAGCATTTATATTCACTTCTAGTTTTTCCAAAATATCAATTATATTCCTCAAATTGTCAGACAAATGTCTTCCTGGGAGAAAGCCCGCTTGATCTTTATGAATCTCTTCCATCAACACTTTTTTAAATCTCTTAGCCAAAATGTCTGCAAAAATTTTGTAATCCACATTGAGTAATGATATGGGACATTTTTTGATATGACAGAGACATTGAATTTAATAGATATCTGGAGAGTAAAACATGTGCTTGATAAACAGTTAACCTTTCTTCACATGTACATGGCAGTAGTGCCAGACTGGATGCAGTTTGAATTTCAAAAGAATTAGAATCAAAAGTTTAAAAAATTGAAATAGATCCCAGAGCATTGTCGGATCATAGTCCTATAATAATGGAAATTCTGAAAGAAAGTCAATACACCTTTAGATGGAGATAGAATGAAGATCTATTAGATGATAAAATCTTGTTAGAAAAGGCAAAAAAGGTTCTGGGAGATTACTTTGAATTTAATCTTAATAATAGAACCAGGCTGCAAACAGTATGGGATGCTAGCAAAGCAGTCATGAGGGGACTGTTTATACAACAAAACTCAATTAAGAAAAAGGCAAGAGAAAAGAAAAGAAATTTTAGATGAAATTTCAGAGAAAGAAAAATAATTAATAAAAACCCCCAGTAAAGACACAGTTAAACAGGCAATTAAACTATTAGAAATTCAATACTCAATGTTGATTAATGAGGAAATAAGCTGGAAGAATTGATGCTTTTGAATTATGGTGCTGGAGGAGACTCTTGAGAGTCCCATGGACTGCAAGAAGATCAAACGTATCCATTCTTAAGGAAATCAGCCCTGAGTGCTCACTGGAAGGACAGATCGTGAAGCTGAGGCTCCAATACTTTGGCCACCTCATGAGAAGAAAAGACTCCCTGGAAAAGACCCTGATGTTGGGAAAGATGGAGGGCACAAGGAGAAGGTGACGACAGAGGATGAGATGGTTGGATGGTGTTCTTGAAGCTACCAGCATGAGTTTGATCAAACTGCAGGAGGCAGTGGAGGACAGAAGTGCCTGGCATGCTCTGGTCCATGGGGTCACGAAGAGTCGGACACAACTAAACAACAACAACAACAAGCTGGAAAATTAAAATGATGAAACAAAAGTATTTTGAACACGCCAACAAGCCAGGGAAATTACTGGCATGGCAAATGAGGAAAAGTGAGCAAACAAATTATATAAATAAGATAAAACTTTGAGGAGAATCAGAACTTACAGGGTTAAACAGTTCTGTGTGATGTCTCACATTCTGAGGCGTGGTTTGGTTCACATACGGGAATCTTTCTTTGTGTGTGAGTTTCCTTTCGTTTTTGGCTGAGAGACGAAAGAATGTCCGCTCTCTCGCCGGGCTGATTTATGATGTTTTTCTTCTCATTAAAGGCTGTTAGAGATTAGCAAGAAGCCTGCGTTCAGTCTGATTTATTATCCACACACAAGGCAACACTTTCTACCACTGCAGAACTCTGCTACGAACTCTGCTAAGAGTTCAGGTTTTTCCTATCGGCATAAGCGTCCATCAGCACAGGGGAAGTGTGCCGGGCGCCATCTTATCTCAGCAAAAACATAATGGTAAGATCACTGAGAAACCAAAGGAAACATGGGAAGCCTTCATTAAGTACTTTACAGAGAGGTGGCAGGCTTTAAGCTGAACATAACAAAAACAAAAATGCTTGTTAAAAATGTAACCACGGAAGAAAAGGACGACTTAGAAAAAATATTGGGCCTGAAAATCTCCTCAAAAGCGAAATACCTGGGTATTGGGATCACCCCCAAGAACATAAACTTATTTCAGGATAATTACACCAAAACTTGGTTAGAGATTAGAAAAAACTTTGAAACCCGGAGTAAATTAAAATTAACATTTCTGGGTAGGATTTGCATTATAAAGATGAATGTGCTTCCAAAATTAATCTTTTTATTTCAAATGATTCCAATACTGGGCGAAGCAGGTTGTCTCAAGATATGACAAAGAGAAATTTTCAAATTCCTGTGGGAAGGGAAGAAACCTAGAATTAAACACCTGATCTTAATAGACATAAAAGAGAGAGGAGGCTTTTCTCTACCCGACCTAAAACTTTACTACGAGGCAGCCTGTTTCACCTGGCTAAAAGATTGGTGCACATTGCAGGATCCGGACCTCCTGGATCTGGAAGGTTTTGACAACCGTTGGGGATGGCACGCCTTCCTGATATATGGAAAAGCGAAAATTCATAAAAAGTTTACCAACTATATAAAAAGAAAGTCACTCTTTGCTGTATGGGAAAAATATAAAGACCTGATGGAGCCTAAAGTCCCGTGGTGGACTTCTCCAATAGAAGCCATAGCAGTAAAACGGAAAAAATACTTAGGAAAGCTGGCCAACATATAAAACACTTCTAAAAAATGAAGATAACCAAATAAAATTAAAAAACTTTTAGGAAATAAGAGAACACATCTCAGACTGGTTCCAATACCATCAGTTATTTGAAAAATTTAAATCTGACAAACAAAAGGGGTTCTCAACAGAAATTTCCCGATTCGAATCTGATCTTGTAAATTCTAAAAGAAAAGCTCTTTCCAAAACTTATCGACTCCTTCTTGACTGGACAGTCAAGGAGGAGGAGGTAACAGTGGCAATGGTGAGGTGGTCACAAGATTTTGGCCATTCAGTAACCATGGCCCAATGGGAAAACTTATGGAAGATCAATTGGAAATTCACAAATTGTTACACAATTAGAAAGTACTTTACAGATTTTTATAAAAAAAGAATTGTAAAGACGACACTGATGGAAGAATATATAAAAAGCAGCAATCTCCCAAAAATAAAAGATGAAAAACGGTTATTATTAAATGCTGAAATAACATCACAGGAAATATTAGATGAAATAAATCAAGCAAAGACAGGCAAATCCCCATGACCAGATGGAATTTCAGCAAAGTATTATAAAAAATCAAATGAACAGCTTGTGATTCCCTTAAAAGATATGATGAATGAGATTTTAAAAACAGGGGAAGTCCCAGAAACATGGAAAGAGGCCTATATAACATTAATACCAAAACAAGATTCAGATATAACACTAGTAAAATATTATACGCCCATCTCACTATTAAACAATGATTACAAACTGTTTGCATATATCCTTGCTAACAGAATGAAAAGTTCTTTGGAGGAACATATACACCAAGACCAAGCAGGATTTTTTCCAGGTAGACAAATGAAAGATATTATCAGAAACGTTTTAAACATAATTGAATACCTGGAAGTGCAAAATGAAAAACAAGCAGCATTTATGTTTATAGTTATCATCACTTTTGTTCATTCTGGTTCTGGAGGTTCTGGCAAGGAATATTAGAATGGATAAAGAAGTAGCAGGAATAAGAATAAAGAAAAATGAACACAAATTGAAAGCCTTCACGGCCAATTTGGTTATTACTGTAGTTCTCTCCCTAGAGTAATAGAAAAAATTCAAAAGTTTGGACAAGTGGCAGGTTTTAAACTTAATAAAAACAAAACAAAACTGTTAGTTAAAAATCTTAAAGAATCAGAAAAGAAAGAACTATCAGAATCTATATAGAAATCCACAAGAAGGTAAAGTATTTAGGAATATGGCTGACGATAAAGAATCTTAATATTTACAAAGACAATTATGAAAAAAATTTAGAATGAAATAAAAAGGAATTTGGAAGTTCACAGTATGAACTGTGAGGAGAACCTGAGCTTATAGGGTTAAACAGCTCAGAGTGTACGCCCTGCCTACTGTTGAGAGGAGGGGGGAACTTCTGCGTCATTTCCGAGAGCCTCAAGCCTTTGTTCTTTCTCTCTACTTTCGCTTTTGAGGAGAGAGGACGTGTTTTCGCGATGCTGTTCGCTGTGATAGATAATGGATAGTCTGCTGTAAATAAAACTGCTTTTAGCTGCTAAGATCCTGAGTGGACTTTATTTAAGCACACTGAAGAAGGCACTGGAGGTTTTTTTGCAGTCTTTCTCTTGCCGCTGCCGAACTCTGCTATGCTCAGGAATGTGGACTTTGGAATGCCGGCCAGAGCTGTGCGATGGGAAGCGTGCCGGACGCTTATCTGAGCAATAAATCAATCCGCCCGACATGAACCTCTCTTTCTTAGGACGAATTGCTGCAATAAAAATAAATGTATTGCCAAAAATGCTATTCCTTTTTCAGACAATACCGATAAGTAATAATGCTTGCTTCAAAAAATGGCAGCAAGATATTTCAAAATTTATCTGGAATGGTAAAAGGCCAAGAATAAAGCACAAAATACTTACAGACTTAAAACAGTGAGGAGGCTTTTCTCTTCCAGATTTTAAAATTTACAACGAAGCAGCATGCCTTACTTGGATTTGGGATTGGATTAAATTGGAAAAAAAGGAGGCAATAGACTTAGAAGGACACGACAACAGATTCAGTTGGCATTCATACCTGTGGTATGGAAAAGCAAAGGTACACAAAGGATTCCACAATCACATAATTAGAAAGTCCCTGATAAGGGTATGGGAAAAATACAAAGAATTACTGGAATCCAAAACTCAGTGGTGGTTGTCACCTACTGAAGCATTATCACTTAAAACGTTAACAATGAAAGGAATATGGCCAACATATAGAGATTTATCAGTACAACAAGAAGCAAAGTGGAAATTGAAAGATTACGATGAGATAAAGGAACACCTACAGAGTTGGTTGCATTATAGGCAATTAAATGAAATCTTCACGGAAGATAACAAGAGAGGATTCACTTACAGTTTCAAAATTCCAAAAGGATATCATAGATGATCATTCTAAATTGTTAAAGAAGGCGTACAATATTCTGTTGGAATGGGAAACTAAAGCTGAGGAAATTAAAGCAGTAATGATCAAGTGGGCACAGGACATAGGTCATAACATACAATTTGAGGATTGGATAAGGCTTTGGAAAGTGAACTTGAAATTTACGGATTGTATATTGTTGAAAGACAATTATATGAAAATGATGTACAGGTGGTACATTACACCATTAAAAGTGGCCAAAATGTACAAAACAGAACAAAAGAACTGTTGGAGATGTAAAGAAGGGGAAGGTACATTTTATCACATGTGGTGGGATTGTAAGATTATTTTTAAAAATTGGGCAATGATATATAATGAATTGAAAAAAATGTTTAAAATAACCTTTGTGGAAAAACCAGAAGCCTTTTCGTTAGGTATTCTAGGACAAGAAATGCCGGAGAAAAATCGGACATTATTCATGTACGCTACCTATGGCAGCAAGAATCCTAATAGCAGAAAACTGGAAGACTGGAGAAATATATTTTAAAAATAACTCCAAAGCTTCAACATCAAGACTGATGGAATGGGAAGGATATAAAGCTTACATCAGAGGGAAGATAATATCCTTCTCTGCCAACAAAGCCAAGCTGCAAAGATTAAAAGAAAATAATCTAAAAATTTCTTTAAAAACACTATGGGGCAATATGGCAAACAACCCATCTAATGTTACATGTGAAAGACTACAACAACTAACATTAGAACTGAATAATATACTAGCTAAAAAAAATGAGTTCAGCCTAAGTCTAAGACAAATATATTGGGAATAGGGAGAAAGACCAACAAAAATTCTAGCTAATTGTCTAAAACAAAAGAAAGCGAACCAAATAATACCCTTAATAAGAAATGAAAATAACATCGCAGCGACCTCATCAATAGATATCAATAATGATTTTTTTTAATTCTACAAAAAATTATATGAAGGGCCAGAAAATATATCAGAGGATGAGATGGAGAACTTCTTTCAAAATATCAAAATACCAAGAATTGAAGAAGATAAAAAAGATATGCTGTCAGCACCCCTAAATATATTAGATATTGAGAATGTAATAGAAACAATGGGGAATGGGAAATCACCTGGACCAGACTGTTTTCCTATAGAATGGTATAAAATATTCAAAAATATACTAGTCCCCAGACTAGAGGTCTATGAGGAAATAGCTCATAAAAGTATATCTTCTACAACATTCAATAAAGCTTTAATAATAATTATACCAAAACCTAACAAAGACCCTACTAAATGTGCAAATTATAGACCAATATCGTTAATGAATGTTGATGCAAAGATTTTGAATGCAATATTGGCAGCAAAATTACAAAAAGTTATGCAAGACTCGATACCTAATAACCGAACAGGTTTTATAAAAACAAGACAAGCTACAGATAACATCAGATTAACAATAGATTTGATAAATTTAAACAAAGATGAAGAGGAGTTTATGATATTGTCATTAAATGCAAAAAAGGCTTTTGACAGAATATATAAAGAATTGATATGGTTTGTGTTACGTAAATTTCGTTTCCCTATAGAATACTGTAATTGGATCTAAATGATTTATAAAAACTCAACGTCCCGGATTGTTACAAATGGAAGAATTTCGAATTTGATTAGTTTAAATCGAGGAACGAGACAAGGATGTCCTCTTTCTCCGTTATTATTTAATCTGTGCCTGGAACCATTAACAAGAGCAATAATTCAGGATGAGCATATCAAGGGTGTAAAACACAACAAAGATAATTACAAAATTGTATAATTTTCGGATGGTATCCGTTTATTTATTACAAAACCAGAAGATACAATTCCAAAAATTATGGAGAAAATAAAAACTTTTGGCAGAATATAGGGATATTCTATAAATTGGACAAAATCAGATATTTTACCAATTGGGCCAAGGGCTACATTGTATAGAAACCATCAATTTTGGATGTGCAAAGACTTTATTAAATAGTTGGGTATAATGATTTCATCAGATATAGACCAAATTATAAAATTTAATTTGAATCAAATTATAAATGATATTTACCTCTCTCGCCCTGACCTAGCCACTGTGATCCACACGACGGTCACCTCCAGATTGGATTATTGTAACTCGCTCTACGTGGGGCTGCCCTTGAGACTGACCCAGAAACTCCAGCGGGTGCAGAATGCTGCAGCGAGACTCCTTACGAGGTCTTCGCTGTGAGATCACATTCACCCAGTGCTATACCAGCTGCACTGGCTCCCGGTGGAGTACAGGATCAGGTTTAAGGTGCTGGTTTTAACCTTTAAAGCCCTATACGGCCTAGGACCCTCGTACCTACGGGACCGCCTCTCCTGGTATGCCCCACAGAGAAACTTACGGTCTTCAAATAAAAACATCTTGAAGGTCCCAGGCCACAGAGACGTTAGGCTGGCCTCAACTAGAGCCAGGGCTTTTTCGGCTGTGGCTCCGATCTGGTGGAACACTCTGTCACAAGAGACCAGGGCCCTGCGGGACCTGACGTCTTTTCGCAGGGCCTGCAAGACAGAGCTGTTCCACCAGGCCTTTGGCCAGGGCACAGCCTGACTCCCTCCCTCGGCAATCTTCGCGGAGCTCTGGCCCAATGGTTGCCAGTGGCTTGAATTAATTAATTTTATAATGAATGATTTTAGAGTGTTGTTTATGCTGTACTTTTGTACTGTTTTATTGTTGTTAGCCGCCCTGAGCCCGGCTTCGGCTGGGGAGGGCGGGATATAAATAAAATTTATTATTATTATTATTATTCTTTTGATATTGAAAGGTGGCGACCTCTAAACCTCTCCCTTTGGGGAAAAGTTCATGTCCTCAAAATGAATGTTGTTGCAAAGCTTTTATACATTCTTAGAGGATTACCAATACATATTCCCAAATTTTACTTCCAAAAAATAAATCAACTATTTAGATCGTGCCTGTGGGGTACAAAGCCACCAAAAATATCACTACATAAAATGCAACTAAGGAAGGTGGCTTTGGTCTCCCAAATCTGGAACTATATCACCAGGCCTACCTGCTGAGTAAGACTAATGATTGGAGAGCTAGCAGGAATCCCAATTGGGCTACTCTCGAATATAGTTTCTTTGAACCTCTTGTAGGGTGGACTAAACTGGGCTCCAATTTTATGAAATATCCTATTATCCTGGAGACTATTAAAGCACCTATAAAAATTTGGATGAATAAAAATAAAAATAATAAGGATGACCCCTATCAGCATGAGAAACTAAAAATTTGGGCCAACCCAAAATTAAAAATTGGAAATCAAGTAATAATTTGGCAAAATTGGATTTAAAAAGGTATTTTGACATAGAATCAATTAATTGATGAAAATTAAAAATTTGTGGAATATATGACTTTACAAGTAAAGTATGGATTAACCAGTGAAACACAATGGAAGTACATCCAATTGAAACATATGTTGGAAAGGCAATTTGGCCCTGACGCTCTAGCAGCACCGGAAACACCCATGCTGCTACAAGATTTAATCTCTGCAACAAAAACAAAAAACTCTACACTTGCACTATATAAAACCCTACTCAACAGGAAGAAATATGATTTAGAATATTACAGACAAAAATGGAGTGAAGAGTTAGGGGTACAGATAACAAATGATATATGAGAGTCAAGTATAAAATCAACAGAAATAGCCTCTATGGATCTAAGACTAAGACTTATTCAACAGAAAATAATATTTAGAGTCTACTGGACTCCAGCAAAACTACACCAGAAGAAAATAACAAGTGCAGACAACTGCTGGAGATGTGGAAGTAAAAATTCGAACTTAGTACATATGATGATTAACTGCCCGATGATAAGATCATTTTGGTGTGAGTTGAGGATATTTATAGCCAGAGTAATAAAAAGAAATTGTTATTTAGTGGAATTAAATTTAATTCTAAATTATATTCTGGAAATGTGGGAAAATACAATGGGTCAAAAAAATGGGTGTACTGTGCTATATTAGAAGCGAAAAAATTTGTTTTGATGAATTGGAAGAGCCGGAAAAAGATTCCACTGAGCACATGGATTGAAAATATGGACAGACTAGCTACATATGAACAAATTGCATGTCAAAGCAAATTAAAAATGGATAAATATGAAGAAATCTGGAAGGAATATTTAAGCGATAAGTGGTGGGAAGTAGGGGGAGGAGAGAGAGGTGGGAAAATATTGTTAAAAAGGTGTAGTCATAGGTATATCAGTGTATCCAAATGTGAATTGTCAAATTGTATTATTAGTGTTATTATGGTTTTTGTTTTTTGTGTCTTTTGCGATTGTTGTTTGTATTGAAAAAATGATTAAATAAATTAAAAGTTTAAAAAAACCATCCATGCTTAGATTAAAAAAAAAGAAAGACTGGAGAAATACCATCTAAAGAACAATGGCAAGAAAAATTGATGAACTATGCAGAACTGGCAAAATTAACGGACAAACTGTGTGAAAAGGACAATAGTGACTTTGGAAGAGAATGGGAACCCTTTACAACATACTTGCAGAAACAAAACAAAAAATGGACTCGTTGGCAGGATTTAAATAAACATTCACAACTTTATTTACAGAGAACAAGAAATAGAACTAGTGATAACAGAACATTATGTATAAACAGAATGTAACATTTGGTGTAACAAACCAGAAATAGAAGTTGGGGGAAGTCAACAGGGAGGGGGAAAACTAGAAAACGGATGTTAAATGATGATATTTGTTATGTATGCCAGCGTGGTTGCTCGAGAGCAAACAGGCAAGACTCCCACCGGTCTTTTCAAGGCTTTATTATCTGTGCAAAGCATTTACAGTGCAGAGCGTCTCAATTCCATGTCTGCTCAGTCGCTAGCAGAATCTGGGAATGGGCGGTCCTTAAACTTTCCCCAGCATAGCAGTCTTTTTACCCCCATCCTACGCCTCCCCTCTCTGCGCATAAACTGACTGCACAGAGAGGGCGTGGGCAGATGGGGACCTGCCTCCCCCCCGCTTTGTTCATGCTCGATGCTGTGTCTCTCCCTTGCATCCTCCGAGACCTGCACCCCTTCCCCACTGGAGGCGTGGCTTTCCTCCTCCGCGGAGGAAGTGCTGCTTCTCAAGATCTGATCTTCGGAGGCTCCCTGTAACTCAACTGCCCTTCCACCTCTCACCTCTGAGCTGATGGCAGTTCCCTAACAATATTGAATAATTGTTATGAGAAATGAAAATTAATAATAATAAAAAATAAATAAATAAATAAAAAATATCCTGAATATACAGCCTATCATTTTCACTGGATGACCCTGCCCTTGTATTATACAAGGAATAAAAGCACCTTATCTGTTCATTTCCCCCACACCATGCATTGTTTTATGGCCCTGGCCCTGCTGACCTGCAACGAAGCCTTGCAGCAAAGTCTCCTCCTTGGTTGCAGGTGGCCCCTTCTCTTCGTCACTCTCTTCACTGTCTTCTGGTGCAGCTGGAAGGTCCTCCTTGGGCTCTGTGTGGGGCCATCCTAACATCCAGGGGTTGTCTGGATCCAGTCCAGCAGGCCTCTCATTGACAACACTTGGCATGAGATCCCCCTCTGCGTCAGTGTCGTTGCCACCTTCCTCACTATCAGATGCCGGGCGTACTTTCTGGGTCAGTTCTTTGTTCTGGGCCAGCTGCTCCTGCATGGCTTGCCTAGCCTAGAAATGCAGGCAGGCAATAGCCTTTACTTGCAGACCTTAGGCTTACAAAATCTATTCTTTACTTCTTCACTAGAACCACCCCAGGTCCATCCAACCCCAAAGCCAGGTGCAAAGAGTAGAGCCTTTGAATAGGGTTGCCATACATCTGGAATTTCCTGGACATATCTGGAATACTGCAGTTGGAAGCCGTGTCCAGGTGGAAATCGGCAACATGTCCAGAAAAATCTGGACATACGGTAACTCATGTCAGCAGTGTCGTTTTTGCCTATTTTCCATAAAACAGCTTTAAAAAGTCTGTCACACACATACACATACACATACACATACATACACAGCTCAACAACTCTGGCAAAAAAACAACAGCCCAAAATCTCAACAACTTTTGTGTCCGGATTTTCACTTTTTGAAATATGACAACTCTACCTTTGAAGGTGTCGCCATATGCAAAATGGAGGCTTAGGGGGAGGAGACAGTTATCTGCTGCACCCCAAAAGCCAACATAGATACTGGGATGGTTTGCATAAACAAACCTGTTTCTGTATTATTTCAGATAAGAGCTTGAACAATCTGGTGCTGGAGGATTCTTTTTGACATAGCTGTTGTTAAACAATCAGAAGTCAGAAACGCTTGCTGATCTACTGCAAATTGTCCAACAATCTACGAGTAGATTGTAGCTCTATCATTGGCCCTCCCCTGACTTACAGTATCCCGTATTTTCAGCCAAAAGAGGACCAGCAAAGCATACACCCCTCTAATAACCCCCCAGGAAGCAAGTAAAATGTTTAACAGCCCAACTTACAATAATTCACTACTATTTCCTCCCCCTCCCAAGTAAGAATTTTAAACAATACTCTCCAGAGAAAGTCAATTTCCCAGGAGAAAGGGTATGAATTGCAACTGGCCAGAAAATGATTTGCCATCTGTTTTTGGCTCTGGATGTAAATCCACCCAATGGCGGGAAGGCAAGCGGACAAAAGAAAGGTCTTTTATCACCCACTTGCAAATGTTGTTAAAGGTGCTCTAAAAAGCACTTCTATGGGAATAGCCTGATATTTTCAGCCAACCCTTTTCTGGAAGCTACATTTCAGCTCGATCAAATCTCTCAAGCACCTGCCTTGGTTTAATTACATGTTAAGAGTGGGTTTTGGCTGATAAAGCCTCCTCCCTCCACACATCTCTTACCTCTAGGTTGTACTTTGCCATGAGGACTGTAGATTTGGCCCACTTGCCCTTGTTCTGGTGTTTCAGGCTCATCCTCTCCTGCACAGAGAAGTAAGGCAAAATGTCACTATGATGGAGTACAGTAAGAGAGCGCCCTCCACTAGGCAGAGGGGCCTCATCTCGGTACCTGTGATGGTTTTAGAAGCCTTTGGCAAGGAATACCTCTGCTCACTCAGAGATATATTTACAGTCTTTATTCACATAGTATTTACAAGGTACAGAACATGCTTCATACGTCCGAGTCCTCGGTAGCAGATCCAGGAAGTGGGGGCTTTCGGCTCCTCTTCCAGCAGAGGAGCCTGGGAAGTCCCAAGTGCCACCTCTGTTCCCTACGCTTTAACCCCCTCCTGTCCTGTGCTGAAAGAATGGGCACCACCTCTCCCTCTGTCCCTGAACTGGTAGAGTGGTGTTGCTGCTCTGCAGCATCAGAGAGCATTCTCGCCGCTTGAGGCCCTCCCCCTTGCTTTTCCTCCTCTGCTTCTCCTGTGTCTTCTACAGGCTCCTGTTTCTCCCCCTCCCTCAGTTCCAGGGCGTTCCCTGGCAGCCCCATGACAGTACCACAGGAAGAGGGCTGCACCCACCTCAATACGCACTTTCTCAATTTTAGCTAGCTCTTCTAGAGCTGCCTCAGGGTTACTTTTCCGCAACATTTCAAATTCTTTCAGCACCTTGCGTTTCCTGATCTTCCTAAGCATTCTGTGATACCTTCAGGAAGAGGAAGATAGCAATGTCAGAGGTTTGAACAGCCAGGCCAGAGGGAAAGGGCACGCAGCTAACTGACATCACTGAAATAGAGCTGTTTGCCCTGGCCATTGGCAATGCTTGTTGAGGCTGATGGGAATTGTAGTTCAGCAACATCTGGAGGGCCAGAGCCTGCAGCAGAGTCAGTGAAGTGGTTAGAGAAGGGACAAGAAAACTGTGACTCTAAATGTTGCTGCCCTCCCCTCAACTTCAGCCAGTACAACCAATGGCCAGGGATGATAGGGGTTGGAATCCAACAACTTATTGAGGACTACTAGTTCCCCACCCCTTGTTTGGAGTATCAGCCTAATGCCAGAAAGTCTCAGTTTCAAACCCCTGCTAGCTGTCTAGCTCAATAGGTTACCCTGACTGAGTCACTGTCTCTGCCTTACCCACCTCACAGGATAAAGATAAAATGGGCATGGGGACGTTGAGAGAGAGAGGGAGAGCAATGTACACCATCTTCTTGAGAGATCATTGGAAGAAAAGTGTAAAAAATAAACAGACAGAGCCCACAGCTGTTATTTATTATTTAATTTTTTAAAAAAAATTCCATTTATGTCTTGCCCTTCCCTCCCAAAGGAGCCCAGTGTAGCAAGTCGCAAGATGCCTAGTCCTTTCTGGGCTGCAAGGAACTATGCAGGAACTGAACAGGGCTCATCCACAAAAGTGAGAAGAGGACTTTTTCCACCTACCCTCATTTCTTTTCGGCAGCCAACTTAAAAGGGTGAAGGTGGGTTGGATGGCTGTTCACAAATTTTCTCCAACTTAAGTCAGCTGATCAGCACTTACAGCAATGCCTGCTTTGGGCAAGGATCAGTTGAACTAAGGAGTTCTTCAAGAACTCTGTAGTGCAACCAATCCCTGCAAGCCTTGCTGTCGTGATCAATCATCTGATCAGCACTAACAGCAAGCCTTTATTGGAACAGGAACAACTGGGAGCATACTATGTAGCTTCCCAATTGTTCTTCCACAGCCATGTCTTTACCCAATGTAAAATTTAATATCAAGTATGGAGCAGGTAACTGTGCTTGTGGGGGGTTGGGGGAAAGTTTTGTGGTCGGCTATCAGAACTAATGGGACTGTAGGTTCCCAGCTACTGCTCTACAACAATTGCTTACCTTTTGCTCTTGATCTTCCGCTGATGTTGTGCCTTAGCCTTGTAGTAGGACTGCAGGACTCGAGCCCTCTGGTGCTGCATACGTCGCAACTGTGCCTGAAATGCGCAAAAACGGAGAGAAGGGCTGACTGTAAAAGCTTACAGAGCAAGGCAGTGTGGGATCCAGGAGGGAGGGAGAGATGGAGAATGGGAAAGAAACAGCTAGATCTAGACTCACCTCCTCCAGACTCATGGCCTGCAGTGAGGACTTCTCCTGTGGCATCAGGAGTGGGTCCTTCACTGGCTGCTTTCCTTTGTGTAGAATATTAAAGATTTCTTGCTCCAGGGGTGTTTGTGCCTTAGAGCGGGTGAGAAGAGGGAAGGATGGACACAGAGCGGTAAGTTTCAGCTTACTCTAAAGACTAGTCCAACAAGGTTGCAAAAGGTCACTAACAAAACAGGGGACCCCACCCCCCGACCTCACAACACTTTATTTGCCAGTCTGATTTTAGGTGAAGGGATGCTACCTCTTCTTCGCAGACTATGCTTGTCATTGCTGCCTCTGGAGACTATCTGGAAACTTGAGGCAACATAGGAACTAACAAAGTTATGAGCATGTTACACAGGTGCTTTCCCATATTCACTGGCTCCAAGTTAGTTCCAAGGCTCGACTGGTTTTGACATTTCAAGCCCTTCATGGGTTAGGGCTGCAGTATCTGAAGGACTGCTTCATCTCACTGTGTACCCACAAGTGCCCTGAGATTATCACTGGAGGGCCTTTTCTGCAAAACCTATGCCGGCAAAGTTATGGTGAGAAGACCACCAGGTAAAAGGGCCTTCTCTGCAGTGGCCCCGACTTGCATGAGACCCTCCACAAGAGAGGATTGCTTGAACTCTAATGTTGTTTTAGAACCAGGCAAAGCCTTTAAAAGGGAGGAACACCCCCACCCCCCGGCATTCAAACTCTGTTTATTTTACCCCTGAAATGTTTTAGTTTGTGATTAGATGCTGTTGTTATGGTTTTAGCTTTTCTCTGTCCCTATGCATACTGTTGTAATACTACTTTTTAGAACTTATTTCCTATTTTATTGTTTCACTGCTTTTATCATACCAAGAGAATGTTAGTTATTGGCTGAGCAAAAACCATAGCAGGCAGATAGCTAGATAGCTAGATAGATAAAATGTATTATTATTATTCATTTGTTACACTTATATTGCACCCCTACTGAAGAACAATTCATGAATAATTTCTACAGGATCCTCCTTTCAAGAGAGGGAGAATTCCACACCTTTCAGAGTCTTTAGTAAGGATAAGTTTTAGTTCCAATACAGACAGGACGTTTTAAGAATGAGTGCTCTCCAAACATGTTGAGAGGGAGGGCTGCCTTGGCTGAAATGGCAAGGCTCATGGAGACCAAATAGCATGATAGAGGCAGGAAGAGCAGTTAAAGCAACAGAGTGTGAATGGGCACAGAAACAGAGTTGGTTGCTACCTTTTCCTTTTCTGTTGCACTTTCCAGTTTTCAAAGTGCCACATCATCTTAAGTAAAATGTAAACACTTATAAAACTTTCAGAAGGGTACTTTTCTTCTGAAAAATGCACCTGTGGCTAAATTCTGAAAAATGCACCTGTGGCTAAATTCTCTAGATTTTTCTTCAGCTGTCTTTTAAAAGTAACTCAGAGGTATGGATAAAGATCAGCTGGAACTGGATAACCCATATTAAGATAGCGTTACCACATAATTGCCATATATTATTTCTAGCAACAACAAAAAAGAAGAAGAAAATTCCAAAGCCTGTATCAATAAATTACAGTTATCAGACTTTTGTTGATTTTTTTCCTACTCAGTACCACTACTGGGCAAAATGTATTCTTAAACTTCAGGTTAAAGATATTGATGCAAATTTCTCAATGACTGCTGCTTATAAAACCTGCTCCCCAATTTACCTTGATTTGTCCACTGACTGCTTCAAGGGTTGTTCCAAATATATGGATAATGTGACTGTTCCCAAATATTGGCTCATCTTCTCTAGGTCCAAATTTAATTGCTTTAACTGCCTATTGGGGTTTTCTTACAATGAACAATTCTGCCCTCTGTGGGGATGGAGCGATAGAAATCCTAATAGGTATTATTTTTGTATTTTTTAAAGAGATGAGCAAAGCAGATTTATTCCTGTCTGACTAAAATATCCAGGAAGGTCTTTTGAGTGTTATTTAGCTTGCTTATTGGCTAATATGAATAAAACAATAACAGAAACAGTTCATAGATATTCATTTCCCACAACAAAACCTTCATGAAAATATTCTGACAGTTAAGTGTTGTTTGGGCTGTTTTTCTTTTCCCTGTTTCATATACACGTATGAACCATATTAAATTTTATGCTAGAAATTATATGGTTTTGGGGTTTCCTTTGTTTTTGAATGGGTCTGTAACTGCATAGTAACATTGGATTGCCTAACAACTTATATGGTATTAATCTGCACAATAAAACAGGTAAGTGTCTCTCTTTTTTTCTTTTTCAGATGAGGAACTGAGATAGAGAGGGTCACTTATATGCAGCCACTTGGTAAGTTCTGTTCAAATAGGAGATCAGAGCTAAGAAGTTGAATAGCTAAGTCAGAATTCCGTCTACCAGACCACAAGCTACAAAAGCCACAGTAGATGATTGGCACACCCACACACCTCCACGTAGGGCTGGGAGAGAACTGTGCCTGAAACCCTGGAGAGCTGCTGGCAGTCAATGCAGAAAATATAAAGTTAGATGGGACACAGCAGAAGAGCAGCTTCCTACACTCCTAGGGGCATAGCTTGGCTTGAACATGAGGCAAGAGCACTGTGCAACAGCTGGGTCCACCTCAAGCCTAATTCTCACTTCTTGCTGAGGTCAACCAACACCCACCTGCCATCCATTTATCACTTTTTCAATGGCCGTGACATTCACAGTCTCTTGTTGCAATGGGAAGACTAGCTGCTCAGCACGTCTGTTTTGCTGCACCACTGGATGCCACTTAGCCAGGGCTTGAGATGTCTGAGTGTAGGCAGCTTCCCTCACCACCTGCAGGAAGACAGATAAGACAAGCACAACCTTCAGCAGGAAGATCCCAGTGACACACAGGTATTTCTTTAAGGAGACGTGGGAGTTGTCAAGCCAGAACCCACTTCTGGCAGAACATACTATAAAAGTGTGACCCTCTGTTGGCTCTGACTAGTCTGAAACATACACACACACACACACACACACACACAGAGAGAGAGAGAGAGAGAGAGAGAGAAATACATATATATGCATGTATGGATATGTATAAATATATATATGGTGGACCAGCTACAGCGAGCTTTCCCAGAGGCATATTTTAGAGCACCCACTATAAAGATGCCCATAAGCCTCAGTATAAAATCTTTAGGAAGGCATTACTTCACCCAGGATATGATGCAATCCCACTGCTGGAATCTCAATACTTTAGAGACAGCTGGCAATGTAGCCAGGTATCAATTCTGCTCCATCTATTTGATTTAAAACCATTAACACAGCACACCCAAGTTAAATTCATGTCCATGAACCCCTCCTCTTCACAAGGCAGAAAAAAATACCTTGCTTTATCACACAAGACAAAAACATTTAGTGCTACATTCCACGTTCAACAGCATAGGACAATGGTGATGGCTTTTTCCTGTTTATGCTCCGTCTAGCATACTGCCTCTGAATTGTTCTGTTACAGCCGATAACCCCTGATGGACCTATTCCTCATTAATTTATAGGACCCTTTATTTATTTTTTAAAAAGGATAAGCCTAGGAGCAAACCTTGAGAAAATGAATTTGACAACAAAAATTAAGAGATGTACAGGTAACTCGCAACATACACACATTGAACCTGCGGGCACTCAGCTTCACATGCTTGGTGAACAAATTTTGTAAAAATTTGAAAGAGGCAGGGTGCATCTGGGGAAAAATGGCAATCCCACTCATCACTGTACCCAACGTGCTGTGACTATATGTGATTTTGGCTTTATGCTGTGACCGCGGAACGTAACCGTGTAAGTTGAGAATCACCTGTACCACAGGGAAAGGTACATTTGCCAGTCTATCCTACTTGTGCCAACACACACACACTTTTCCTCTGCTTTTGGTTTCTCCCTCCAGTGTCCTTTCCTTCACATTTCTACCTCCAATGCCAACATCTTCCTCCCTGCCACCACCCCAAGCACAGCTGCCCCCAAAACAGCCCACTGAAATCACCCGCTCATTCTCCTCCTTGCTCAGTGGGAGCTGGATGGGTTTTTTGTGCTGGGCTTTCTTCAGCTGCTTTTGAATGGAACCCAGAGCTGGTGAGCTGGAAGCTGATTGCAACAGTTCTGAGAGGAGAACTTTTTCTCTAGCACCTGCAATGCACAACACATGGTAACACTGGATGATAGGCCAGATCTGGGTGCATTGTCTTTTTCTAAAAAACTTTTTATTGGAAATTTTATTTACAACATAACATAAACCCCCCACCCCACCCCAGAAATACAATAAACATAACATAAAACAATACAAACAACCAAATAAAAGACTTCCTTTATCCTGTACTGTATCTGGCCTCCTTATTTACCATATTTTTCGCTCCATAAGACGCACCTGACCATAAGGCGCACCTAGTTTTTAGAGGGGGAATGCAAGAAAAAAAATTATTCTTTAAAGGGAGCGCTGAGCAGAGCCTGTATGCATCCCAGGCTCTGCTCAGCACTCCCTTTCATGAGCTGCATGGAGCGTGTGTGCGGCGCTTGCAGGCTTTTCCGCGTGGCTCTTTAAAGGGAGCACGGCTATCCCTGGCTTTTGCGGGAGGTGGGGAAAGGGACAGAGCTGGCAGCTCTGTCCCTTCCCCCACCTCCCGCAAAAGCCAGGGATAGCCGCTCAAAACCTCCGCAGGGCAGGGGGATGAACGCTCCCCATGCCCTGCGGAGGCTTCACGTGAAGCTAGAACAGCTAGAGGGAGCGCTGTGCACGATTTCTGTTCTCACCCTGAAGCAAAGTTCTTAACCCGAGGTACTATTTCTGGGTTAGCGGAGTCTGTAACCTGAAGCGTATGTAACCCGAGGTACCACTGTACATTTTAGCTATTTTGGTAAGTGTTAAGTACCATCTATAAAACATCTTGATTAGATTTTCCCTCAATACATCACAGGCTGTAAATTTCTAGTTCTTTCTCCATAATTCTTCCCATGCTGTTAAGTTAATGGTTTTCCCAATATCTAAAGCCCACTTGATCATTGTCGGGGAACCAGCCTACCAGGTGCGGAGGAAAAATGACGAAGAGTCATGGGTGAAGGTTTAAGCAAGGAGTGAGCTCTCTCTCCCAGCAGCCTTGCATGTTTATTAGCCTTGCGCACATTACATCATGTTGCATATACACGTGTAGCACTCGGGTGGAAAACAGCTAGGGTATGCATTTCTTAGAATAACTATTCTCTACCAGGACATAACTCCAGACAGCATGACAGCCGCATAAGCTTTGCGGTTAGGCAGCACGACAGTGACCCAGGCGTGTGGGGGGAACAAGTCAGCAGATGCTTCCTCTTGCACAATCTTGCACAAGGGTGCTGTTTTTTCTATTGCATCCCCACAGATCATTACCTCCTTGACCTGTTAGTCTTTGACCTCCCACTCCAATAATGTATCATACATTTTTGATATTACCTTAGTTTTGTAATAACACTTTTTCTAATAATGAAGGTTCATTTGAGAAACTGTTTTTCTTATCTGTCCTGAACACTTCATGCAATTGATGGTATTGGATCCAACCCGTAAGGTGTTGTTTAATTTCCTCATAATCTTTAATTACCAATTTATTATCTTTTTCCTTAATCAGATCTTTATATGTTGCTCATTCTACTTCCATATTTTTCTTTTTTATTGTAATTGCTTCTAGAGGTGATGCCCACCATGGTGTTTTCAGTTCTAGTAGATCCTTATATTTTGTCCATGTTTTATATAATGATTTCCTAATGACATGGTTCATAAATCCCGTGTACTTTCCCTTTTTCATAAGCTAAATACGCATGCCAACCATAACGACTGTTAAATCCTTCTAGATCTAACAAATCACTATTTTTTAATACAATCCACTCTTTTAGCCAATTTAAACAGACAGCGTCATAATATAAATTTAGGTCAGGTAGCGCCAGTCCACCTCTATGTTTTTTATCTATTAGAAGCTTGTGTTTAATTCTTGGTTTTTTATACTGCCATATGAATTTGGATATCTCTTTTTGCCATAATCTAAGACTTCCCATTCCTCCAATTATCGGTATCATTTGGAATAGATACATAATTTTCAGCAATACATTCATTTTAACCACCGATATTCTGTCAACAAGCGATAATCTTAACTTATTCCAGATTTCTAAATCTCTTTTGATTCCTTTCCAGGTTTTTATGTAATTATCTTTTAATAGATTACTATTATTATTGGTCAGTCAGATTCCTAAATACTTGGTCTTATTTACTATTGTTAATCCTAATATCTCCTGTAGTTCTTCCTTTTCTTGCTTGGTCATATTTTTTACTATCATGTTAGTTTTATTCTTGTTTAACTTAAAGCCGGCTACTTTCCAAAATTCTAATATTCTTTCAATTATCTGTATTATACTTTCTTTGGGGTTTTCAACAGTCAGAATCAGGTCATCCGCAAATGCTTTGATCTTATATTCCTTTTTCCCTAATGAGATACCTTTTATTTTATTATCATTTCTTATGACATTCATCAATAATTCTAGTACCATAATAAATAGTAGTGGTGACAAGGGGCAACCTTGTCTTGTCCCCCTCTCTATACAAAATTCTTCTGTCATTTCATTATTAAGAATAAGTTTGGCTGCTTGTTTCCTATATATTGCCTCTATAGCTTTAATATAATCTTCCCCCAGTTTCATTTCCTTTATGACCCTTTTCATGAAGTCCCACGACACCTGGTCAAATGTCTTTTCCGCATCTATTGATATTAAAGCAGCCTTTTTGTCTTATCTTTCTTCTAGGTATTCTAGTAAATCTATTACATTCCTCATGCTGCTGTGTATGTATCTACCTGGCAGAAAGCCAGCTTGATCTTTGTGTATACTTTCATTTAATAATTTTTTTCAATCTGTTCGCTAGAATGTCAGCGAATATTTTGTAATCACTGTTCAGCAGTGATATGGGCCTATAGTTTTTAATTAGCGTCAGGTCTTGTCCTTGTTTTGGTATCAACATCGTCTTGTCCAGTATCATCACTCTGATTAGCAGCAGCTCTTCAGAGTCTCAGACAGAGACCTACCCCATCACCTGATTTGTGACCATTTAACCTGGAGGTACCAAACCAGGGACTTTCTTCTGCATGCAAAGCATATGTTCTATAGCAGGGGTCAGCAAACTTTTTCAGCAGGGGGCCGGTCCACTGTCCCTCAGACCTTGTGGGGGACCAGACTATATTTTTTGGGGGGGGGGGGCGGGAATGAATGAATTCCTATGCCCCACAAATAACCCAGAGATGCATTTTAAATAAAAGGACACATTCTACTCATGTAAAAACACCAGGCACGCCCCACAAATAACCCAGAGATGCATTTTAAATAAAAGGACACATTCTACTCATGTAAAAACATGCTGATTTTTGGATTTAGAAGGTGATTGGGCCAGATCCAGCCCCCGGGCCTTAGTTTGCCTACCCATGTTCTATAGCAAGTGTGGAGAACCTCTGGCATCTTCAGATGTTGCTGAACTACAACTCCCATCAGCCCCGCGAGCATGGTCAATAGCTAGTGTGGTGTAGTGGTTAAGAGCGGTAGTCTTGTAATCTGGGGAACCAGGTTCGCGTCTCCGCTCCTCCACATGCAGCTGCTGGGTGACCTTGGGCTAGTCACACTTCTTTGAAGTCTCTCAGCCCCACTCACCTCACAAAGTGTTTGTTGTGGGGGAGGAAGAGAAAGGAGAATGTTAGCCACTTTGAGATTCCTTCGGGTAGTGATAAAGCGGGATATCAAATCCAAACTCTTCTTCTAGGGATCATGGGAGTTGTTGTCCAGTAACATCTAGAAGGCCAAACTTGTATAGCCATGCCTCTCTGCTAGAGATTGAGAAATGGTACATGGATCTGGTCACATGCTCCCTCTTAGCCATGACCCATCGGTAACAGAGGATTCATCTGTGCCAGCGATTGCTATGCTGCGAGCGCTTGAGGGGAAAGCTCTCACCTCCACCACAAAGATCAAATTCCGATATCTGTCTGATCGCCTCAGTGCGTTCAACTGCCCTCCATCTGCAAAAAAAGAAAGAAAGGACATTGACCTAGTTAGGAATGGAAAATCAAGCTAATCATTCTTTGTCTCCATCACCAGGGCCATGAAACAGTCTGTGTTTGGGAAGACCGCTCCCTCTCCAGCCAATTCCATCGGTCATTAAACCGCTTCTTAAAAAAACATATTTAGACCCGGCCGACATGGCCAACTATCGCCCAGTCTCAAATCTTCCATTCTTGGGCAAAAGGTGATTGAGCGGGTGGTTGCTGAACAACTCCAAGCACGACTGGAGGATGCGGACCATTTGGATCCCTTCCAATCAGGATTCAGGCCTCACCATAGGACTGAAACTGCCTTGGTCGTGCTGGTTGATGATCTCCGGCAGGCTAGGGACAAAGATGAGAGCTGTCTCCTAGTTCTGCTGGATCTCTCAGCGGCCTTTGACACCATTGACCATAACATCCTTCTGGACCGTCTAGAGGGGCTGGGAGCTGGGGGCACTGTTATACGGTGGTTCCGCTCCTTTCTCCTGGGCCGTGTCCAGAAAGTGGTGTTGGGGGGTGAGTGTTCAGACCCCTGGGCTCTCATTTGTGGGGTGCCTCAGGGTTCTGTCCTCTCCCCCATGCTTTTTAATATCTATATGAAGCCGCTGGGAAAGATCATCAGGGGGTTTGAGCTGGGTATTCATCAGTATGCAGATGACACCCAGCTCTACCTCTCTTTTAAATCAGAACCAGTGAAGGCGGTGAAGGTCCTGTGTGAGTGCCTGGAGGCGGTTAGAGGATGGATGGCGGCTAACAGATTGAAGTTGAATCCTGACAAGACAGAAATACTGTTTTGGGGGGACAGGGGGCGGGCAGGTGTGGGGGATTCTCTGGTCCTGAATGGGGTAACTGTGCCCCTGAAGGACCAGGTGCGCAGCCTGGGAGTCATTTTGGACTCACAGCTGTCCATGGAGGCGCAGGTTAATTCTGTGTCCAGGGCGGCTGTCTACCAGCTCCACCTGGTACACAGGCTAAGACCCTACCTGACTGCAGACTGTCTCGCCAGAGTAGTGCATGCTCTAGTTATCTCCCGCTTGGACTACTGCAATGCTCTCTACGTGGGGCTACCTTTGAAGGTGACCTGGAAACTGCAATTAATCCAGAATGCGGCAGCTAGACTGGTGACTGGAAGTGGCCGCCGGGACCACATAACACCAGTCCTGAGAGGTCTGCATTGGCTCCCAGTATGTTTCCGAGCACAATTCAAAGTGTTGGTGCTGACCTTTAAAGCCCTAAACGGCCTCGGTCCTGTATACCTGAAGGAGCGTCTTCACCCCCATCGTTCAGCCCGGACACTGAGATCCAGCGCCGAGCGCCTTCTGGCAATTCCCTCATTGCGAGAAGTGAGGTTACAGGGAACCAGACAGAGGGGCTTTTCAGTAGTGGTGCCCACCCTGTGGAACGCCCTCCCTTCAGATGTGAAGGAAATAAGCAGTTATCCTATCTTTAAAAGACATCTGAAGGCAGCCCTGTTTAGGGAAGTTTGTAATACTTAATGCTATATTGTTTTTAACACTCGATTGGGAGCCGCCCAGAGTGGCTGGGGAAAGTCAGCCAGCTGGGCGGGGTATAAATAATAAATTATTATAATATTATTATCTCCCTTCCTTCATACCGCTTCGCTCCAGCCAAGGCAGTGAGTGAATCCACAAGCTGATGGTGCTTTGTTGCTTCTTCATTGTCTGCCTGGGGAACAAAAGGTTACCAATGAATAAGGGCCAAGGACCATCTCACAGAGAGCTGAACCCAGACTCATCCTTGCAACAAGATGAATAATAACTTCAAAGGGTACCACTGAGCATACCTAGCCTCTAGCATGGCAGTGCTAACCTGTGATGAGATGCAGCTGCCAGCTAATCAGACTGACCTGCTCACTGGACTTACTGCCTTATAGCCAGGGCTTTTTTCCCCAGTTGGAACTCGCCGGAACTAAGTTCCTGCACCTCTCAGGTGGCTGCCATTGCCATTACAAGGGAGGAGTTCATGGTGAGTTCCAGCACATCTTTTAATAGAAAAAAGCACTGCTTATAGCTTTGAAGAGTGGCTGTAAGGAAAAACGCAAAAAGAAAAGGACAAGGGGAGACACAGATGTAGGGATCAAAACTCAGGATTAGGAGTAGAATTTTCAAAAGCCATTCAAGCCTTTGCAAGGAGGCATCAATCCAGTTCTGCTGTTTAATCTCGCAGAACTTTAATATATTTATTCCTTATTGCATGAGCGTAGCCAGAATTTTTGCGGCGGGTGGGTCAGAACGTAGTTGGGGAGCAGGACTTTTGTTTTGGGGGGGCAGAACCGGCGTGATTGTCCCCCTTCACCCTCGGCTACGCCTATAGCATGCTGTCCTGGGCATCGTTCACGGGGCAAAGAAATCCTTAAAGTCAATTGCATTAAAGCGTCTCAACAGGAATACCGCAGCACCCCAAGAAGGGAACAAAGGTACCCCCCCCCCCCGAGCTTACAGAGCACTTCCCCCACGCGCGGATGGCTCTAAACCATCCCCTCCCACACACATGGGATCACACAGAGTACAGCTTTGGAAATAAATACGGTTGGGCTTCAAAGTTCACCTCCTTCTCCTCCTCCTCGTCCTCACTCATGACCAGCTCGTTCCTCAAGTGATGTTCCTCTTCTGCAGCCGCCATGGGGGGAGCTCAGACACCCCAATAATCCCCTTCCCTTTTTCTTCAGTCCAGGAAGGGAGGTTGACCACGTGGATGGCCAAGCCCCGGCAGAGAGCAAATAGCACCCTGCGCACCGTCAAACACAGCAGCACTTCCGGCTGTGAACCTAAATTTTTGCAGTACTTCCCATCTCTCCCCCACTGGTGAGGCCACAGGGGCCGCTATTGCGCTGCTCTGGGAGGGCAAGGACATGTCGCACGTGACACGCCCTTATTTAAATATGCCAATTAATTATTCAAAATACATGCAAATACGTGCAACGACACCCGTACCTCGCAATCTAAAAGGGAAGCGAGCAAGAAGGGTACAAAGGCTTATTCCCGGAGGCTACTGGCTATTTTAATAAGGGGGCGTGACCAGCTCGTGACCACGCCTCATTTGGAATCTGGACAAGACCAGAGGGTGGGGCTTAGCAAGGGCCAATGACGTGCCGGAAACAGCAACCACGTGAATGCCCGCCTTTGATCCATTGACGCAAAAAACCTCTGGTAGGCTCCTGCCCTTCATCCCTGCTCATCAGGCCGTTCCGCCCCCCTCGTGGCTTGTTTTTTTTGAATGACGTGCGGTTCGGCCAGTGAAAATGCGGAACCAGGGATAGCAGGCGGTACTTGAGAACGAGATGCCCAACGGAAAGCCTAGTTCCTCTCCTCAGCAGGCGGGGGAACCTCCTCCCCTTTTTTACTACGATCCTGAAGTAAACAAGCTGCCGCCCCGCTGCTGGTATGCCGCTTTCTTGGTCTTAGGAAGCGGCCTCTGAGCCAAGCGCACCAGTGCTTGTCCCCCACTCAGGATCCTAATGGATGAAGTGGGAGGGAGCGAGAAAAGGCCCAACAACTTAGCCCTCACCCTCTTCCCTTCACCACATTGTGAGTGAGCGATCCTCAGCTCAGCCAATCGAGCCATCCCCTCTGAACTGGGAGGCGGTGCTGAAGCACAGCTCAACCAATAAGCAGCCGATGTGCCAGAGAAAAGGCCTCGGCGGCACGCAGCCCAGCCTCGGCCCCGACAGCGCTGAGCGGCAGATGAGGGGGGCGAAATACGTAAGTGAGCCGGTGCGAGGGAAGGGAGGAGGAGCGGAGGAAATGGCAATGGTAAAAAAGACCCAGAGCCATGGCAGAGGAGAATGAAGCACTCCCATACCCGTTGCTGGAACTCGTGAGGTCGGGGCCCCGGGTGTTCCCTCAGGACAGCGCACTGTGCTCTCCGCCCCTCACACAAACGGCCTGTCCTGCTCCCAGTCGCGGCACTGGGCGTGGTGTCACCCTCCCCTTTTTCTTTTCGTTACGCGTGGGGCGTGGTCCGCGAGTGGGCCCCTTTCCCTGTCACCACGACATGAAAATCCCTTGCTGTCATTCTGCTCCGTGGAGCCAGCCGTGCACGGCAGGAGCGCGGCTTTTCTCTCCCCCCATTGCTGTCGCTTAACGTGGTGTGTGTGTGTGTTTTTGCGGGGTCTGGGTAAAAGGCGGATCCTCATGGATCCTCCACTTTTTTAAAAAATAACTCCAACAAATGCAGTGTCAAATCACACCTAGAAGGCACGCCTACAAACTGGACTATAAAAAACGTGGATCCAACACTTTGTCGCTCTGCAGCACCACAAAAACATGGATCCGAGGCACGGATCCTCATGAATTCATATAATTTTTATATTGAAACAAAATAAAAACACCATGATACTGTAGTTGACATCTTAGTCTGTAGGCAGAACCAAAAAAATCACGCATCCACTGTTTCGTGGTGCCGCAGTGGCACAAAAACATGGTTAAAAAACATGGATCCTCATGGATCCTAATGATTTCTGCACTAGATCAGCCCAAACTCACTGTCAAATTACACATCATGTCCAGGGGCACAGCATGCAACACAAAAATCACCATACCGTGGCCCAAAAACGTGGTTTTGAAGCACGGATCCTCATGGACCCTCACGCTTTTTGCATTGGGCCAACCCAAACTCACCATCAAATCACACATCATAGCCAGGGGCACAGCCTACACCACAAAAAACTCAGATCCACGCCTGCCTGGCCATACCGTGGCCCAAAAACGTGGTTCCGAAGCACGGATCCTCATGGATCCTCATGATTTTTGATCAGCCCAAAGTCACCGTCAAGTCACACATCATAGCCAGGGGCACAGCCTGCACCACAGAAAACTCAGATCCACGGTTATCTGGCAACGGCATGGCCCAAAAACGTGGTTTTGAAGCACTGATCCTCATGGATCTTCACGCTTTTTGCATTGGGCCACCCCAAACTCACTGTCAAATCACACATCATGTCCAGGGGCACAGCCTGCACCACAAAAAACTCGGATCCACAGCTTCCTGGCCATACCGTGGCCCAAAAACGTGGTTCTGAAGCACGGATCCTCATGGATCCTCACGCTTTTTGCATTGGGCCAACCCAAACTCACCGTCAAATCACACATCATGCCCAGGGGCACAGCCTGCACCACAGAAAACTCGGATCCACGGTTATCTGGCAACGCCATGGCCCAAAAACGTCGTTTCGAAGCACGGATCCTCATGGATCCTAACGCTTTTTGCATTGGGCCACCCCAAACTCACCGTCAAATCACACATCATGTCCAGGGGCACAGCCTGCACCAGAAAAATCACGGATCCACGGCTTCCAGGCAACTCCATGGCCCAAAAACGTGGTTTTGAAGCATGGATCCTCATGCTTTTTGCTCTAGATCAGCCCAAAGTCACCATCAAATCAAACAGCATGGCCCTGGGCACAGCATGCAACACAAAAATCATGGATCCACGGCTTCCTGGCGAAACCATGGCCCAAAAACGTGGTTTTGAAGCACGGATCCTCATGGATCCTCATGATTTTTGTATTGGGCCAACCCAAACTCACTGGGAAATCACATATCATAGCCAGGGGCACAGCTTGCACCACAAAAAAACTCGGATCCACACCTGCCTGGCCATACCGTGGCTCAAAAACGTGGTTTTGAAGCACGAATCCTCATGGATCCTCACACTTTTTGCACTGGGCCAACCTTAAATCACCGTCAAATCACACATCATAGCCAGGGGCACAGCTTGCACCACAAAAAACTCGGATCCACGGCTTCCTGGCCATACCGTGGCCCAAAAACATGGTTTTGAAGCACGGATCCTCATGGATCCTCATGATTTTTGTATTGGGCCAACCCAAACTCACCGGCAAATCTTTTTTTTTTTTTTAAATGATATTTATTGAGAATTTAAAATTACAGAGAAAGAAAGAAAAAAAACAAGAGAAAAAGAAAAAGAAAGAAAAAGGTAGACAAAAATAACAATTGAACAATACAAGTCAATAAAAACCAAAGTCAAAGAAAAAAAAACACACAATACATCAAACTCAAAAAACAAAAATAAACAAAAAAATTAAAAACAAATCCAATATTCCCAAATCCTTATTTTCCATTAACTTATTTCATCGACCTCCTCACACCTCCCTTTTTGTATTCTAGTTATTAATTATCTCAGCAAATCCTTTCCATCTTTCACAATATTCTGTCATTAAATTACCTTAATCTATTTTAACCTTATCTTACCATAAAAAACCCTAAAGCTTAAAACTTAAGTCTTATTTATACCTAATTCTTTTAAGCATAACATGTTCTTACATAATTCTTTTTAACATTTCTACTAAAGCCAAATAATTTCATTCCAACATTTTTCTAATACTCATTAATTTTACGATGATTTTCTAAATAAATTCTTAAAACTTTCTTCCAATCTTCATCCATCATCTCTCTTCTTCCTGGTCTCGGGTTTTGTCAGTCCTTTCTATCCCATCCAACTAGTCCATCAACCTGGTGACCTTCTATCTGAGGCTCTTAAGTCTTTTCCATGTCCCTTCCGCAGGTCTTCTTCATGTTTGTACCTGTACTTTACTTTGTCTTCTGCTGATCTTATTCTTAATTTCCTTCCTTCCTCTCGGGGAGACTCCAACTTGACAATATCTTTGTCCCTTCTCGACAAGTCAGCCCATTCTCTATAGTCGACACTGAAATCCATATGATATTTAGAGGCATGTTTCAAAGTCCCTCCAAAGTTAAGGGCCCCCACAACTCACAACTCCCCCTGGCCCAAAGCCAAATTCGAAAGATCAAAACATCCCTGCATAGGGGGATCTATCCAGCTTCCCATCTCCAAGCCAAACAGAACTCCATCTCTCCAAATCTGACTTTCTCCAGATTCATTCGTCAGATCCAACAACTTATGTTCCTGCAGGGCCGCAGCTCTCTCCATTTCTGCTACTTGAGGTTCAGCAACAACCTCCTCCTTTATCTTCTTCACCACTTGATCTGTCAAAGCACATTCCTGGATTAATTCCTGAGTGGGTTCTATATTCACTGTTTGTCCAAGATTTCCGACTGCAACAGTCATCAAATCCATTTTCTCATGTAGCTGTTCCAGTAAAGCACTTGTCTTGCAAAGAGCAAGCACTAACGCTTGTTCTAGGCACATTCTTGTTCAAGGTCAAAGTCTGGTCCCACGATCTTTAATCTCTACAGCTGCAAAGCTCCCCAGATCGACTCTAATAACAGTCTCACAAGCTCCCTCTAGGGGAGACAATTTCTATTTGTATCCATCTTTTTAAAAGCAGATCTAGCAACAAAGTTCCTTTCCTTTTTCAGATATTTTGTTTCTTTTAAATGCAAGAGGGAACATTGGAATCAATATGTTTCTCTTTTTTAACTATCTGTCAAAAATGTTTGTCCACAGTCAATGAACTTCCCCAAAGCGTCCATCCTGACACCCCACTCCCAGGTTCAAGACGGTGAAAATTTATCTTTCTTTACTCTCTCTTCTGCAGGTTTAAACAGTCTAAAAAGATTCCCCCCTCTTCTCCTGCTTCCAAGGGGGTTTAGTAATTTTAAATGATGGAAATTTAATCCTTTACAGACGACTTTCCAGACTCTAGCTTGCAATGTCTTTGCTTCAATCTATTTACAAAAGCGGAAGGCGGACTTCCTGTTTAGACCTTCCCGCTTCAGTGCCAAATTAAGAAATTTCATAGTCCAATTTTCCGTTCTACTCACGGGCAGTTGTTTAAAATCCAATTGTCCACAGGAAAAAGTCAGCGCTCTCCGGCAACAGCAATGCGGCTTCACTCCGTGAAAAAAGCAGTTGATTCGAAGCACCGCGCCATTCACCCCACGTCGCTCCGGATCCCCGAAACTGGGTTTCCCCGCGAGTAGGGGAGGCGCAAAAGGTGCCAGCCGAATCCCACGTCCACAGGCTTCTCCCGCCTGTGGTTTTTAATGGGTCTCCGCCTCGCCGCGGCGGTCCAGACCCTAATTCTCACGAAGCGGATTCCTCCCGATCAGAGGAAATCCGCCATTGCCAGAGGCGCTAAGCCGGAAATCACATATCATGTACAGGGGCACAGCCTGCACAACAAAAAACTCTGATCCATGGCTTCCTGGCCGTACCGTGGTACAAAAACGTGGTTTTGAAACACGGATCCTCATGGATCCTCACGCTTTTCACTTTGGGGAACCCCAAATTCACCCTTTATTCAAATATCTTGTACATAACCACAGATCTGACCACAAACATCATGGATCTACTGCTTCATGGCCCTGGCCAGATGCTACCCTGCATATATTGGCCAGTTTTTAGGTGGGTGTGCTGGGATGGAGGAAACGGAGTCGGCTGAATCAAAGATGGGCATCCAATGGCTGGGCCAGAATGATTTCGGTTCGGTTTGCCAGCTCCCAGCTCTTCATGGGGCACAATAGTCACCTGTAGCAATAGTCACACCCGGTGTGATCCTGGATGCTTCTGTCTCTATGGAGGCATTGGTCACAAATGTAGCCAAACTGGAATTTTTGAATCTATGTCAGCTTAGGCGATCGGTACCGTACCTGTCCCTTTCCAACCTAGCCATGGTGATCCATGCAGTAGTCACCTGCAGATTAGACTACTTTAACTTGCTGTACACCTGAGCCAGGGAGTGCAGGGTATAAATGTGATATATATATATAGAGAGAGAGAGAGAGGGAGGGAGGGAGATATGCAGGGCTACCCTTGAGACTGCTCCAGAAACTCCAAATGGTCTAAAATGCAGATGCATGAGTTCTTAATTGGACTTTGTGGAGAGCCCACATCCAGTTGGTTGTTCATCAGCTGGATTGGCTCCAGGTGGAGTATCGAATCAGGTTCAATGTTTTGGTGCTAAT